AGTAAATCATAACTTTGTTTAGGTATACCCACATATTATTGAGTAATACAATGATTCTCATTACTTTTCAGCCATACTACATAGATCAGTGTTATCAGTTAATTGTGTTATTAAATTGGTTTTTGTGTTTAGGGTTGTTTTGTTAGGATAGTGTAGTTTGATAATTTTATCTATGTTGTCGATAAAGTCAGATAATAAATTCTCTTCTAATTCAAGTGGTGTAAATGATGACTCTTCTTCAAGATCTAATTCATCAATAACTGTTCTGAATTTCTACATTAGAAAAATCAATGTCTTTATTTTTTTTTTGGTATATGATTGAATTATTGCCATGGATTTCAAGTTGTCTCTTGACAAAGAAATATTATATTAATTAATTAACACTAGTTTATATTATAAAATGCTATGATTTTTAATTTTAAAAAATAGAAATTTTTTTTTTATCAATACTATTTATTATTACTACAATGGACTTTGTTACATTATTATTATTATGATTACTATTATTAGTGATAATTTTGAGATGATAATGATAATGACATCTGATATATGTATGGTAAATGTTGTGATTTTTATTATTTATATACTTAATTGTATTGATTTGTAAACAGAAATTTCACTTTGTGAAATAAGGAATTTTAACTAAAAAATTTTTTTGTGGGTAAATCAAGATGACTTAAGCCAATCGATAAGTGATTAAAGTTAAGTTGTTACTTCAAATTACATGAAAAATACTAAACTTGACTTAATACTTTAGTCAAGTCATGTCAATTAAACCTTGGGATTACACGACCGGCCCTAATATCCGCCACATATTAACAACAAATTTAAGATGATCAACATCCAACATGTTGAAAAATCGAAAACTTTCTTCAAAGTACATACCGGTTCCATTCCTCAAAGGAAAGCAGGTTCTTTAAATTAAGTCGTGCTTGCATCGTATGTGGCATAATTGGAAGTCACAAAGTAATATTTAATTGCAAATAAACCAAATGTCTCTATTATTATTTTTTCTTATTGTTTAATAAAAATCACAATATTGGATCTTTTACCGGACCAAAATTGGACGTAGCTTGAGACCCTATATTTTCAAACATTTGTTTTATAATGAAGAGAGAAATAAATTCATTCGTTCGCAGTCAGACATTGTCATTTACGCAAGGAATACATGCAAGATGGCGAATGGCTTCACAGCCTTAGAAAATATTAATATTTTGAGGAAATTAACGATTTTAGCGAATTATGAAAGCGAAATTTAATATTATTTATCATCAACCAAAATGTTATAATATGCGGTTCAAAAAATATAAAGTGTGAAAGATTAAATTCCTAGAACGATAATATGATGCGATCGATCATGTTGGACGGAAATTGGTGCAAAAAGATTTTCCAAAAATGGAAATCACATGATTTGAAATAAAAAAAGCTACGTAGAGATCCTATTCATCAACCAATAAAATTAGGTTGCATGCTTATTTAGTTTTATTGGAAGTTTTTTTTTTTACAAAAAAATAAAAAAATAAAAAAATAAAATAAATATATATAAAATAAAATAAAATAAAATAAAATGAAATAATAAGATGAATAAATGAATAATAATAAAGATTACAAGACAAAAATTCTAATTTAATAATCGTAAACGTAGTAATAGTAAATATAATAATAATAGTAATTGTAATAGCCAATGCTGTTCTTTAGTTTAGGGAAATCCTGAAATTAAAACTATCCGAAGGTGACTTAAAAGAGTTTAGGCTACAGCAAATGATCACTTAACAACAACACAAGGTCAATTGAAAACTAGCGCCTGAGTTAAATATTTGGCAATCAAATCTGTGCCCATATTATTCGAAATGTTCGAGTACCATTTTAATATACTCGAAAAATCGAATAATTTGGCCCAGATATGAATGCCAAATATTTACCTCAGGCGCTGGTTTCAAGTGACCATGTGTTATCGTTCGTGCCAAGGGTTGTGACGACGACAATGATTGTTGCCTTTGTGGTTGTTGTTCTTGTCGTCGAGTATCATTGATATTGTCTTTGTGGTTATTAAATAATTTGGAGGGTATACTTGAATGGGTTTGGTTCGAATCTAATATTTAATTATTAAAGAAAATTAAAGAAAATTAACATTAAAATCTAAAATCTAAAATCTAAAAATGGTTAACTGATTAATTGATAATAATAATTACCTGAATTGGAGAGGTTCGAGTCTGATTTATTATTATTATTATTATTATTATTATTATTTATAATTTTCAGAGTATTCTCCAAAAGTTCGGGTCTTTTATTACAATTATCATTACCATTAACATCAACATCACCATTACAAATTGATTCTTGATCATATGCACCAAAGCCTGATGTTTGGTCATTATCATCATATGATGAATCGGTTGCTTGATTGCCACTGGTCTTTTTCAAGGTAGGTATTACCGCGTCATTTATATCATCATTCTTACAGGTTGGAAACTTGTCATTTCGTAAGTCTATTTCCAATTCTTGTTCTTTAATTTTCGTAATCGGCATTATTTATTGTTGTTGTTGTTGTTATTGTTATTTATTGTTTATTATTTATACTTAATTATGTATTTTTGTTGTTGTTGCCGTTGTTAATATCGTTGTAACAACGCTGTAATAAATGAATTATAGACCAGTGGCAATCAAAAAGAATTTGTGTTGGGTTTTATCGGGTTATATTTATTATTTAAGTGTTTATGAGGATATTCAGGCTTTAATATTAAATAGATTTCACTGCCGAACAGCAACAAGAAAAATTTTTAGGTAATTGGTGTTATTGGAAGAAATAGTTAATCATAATATTGCGAAAGAGAGCTTCTATGTTAATATTTGTGCTTAAATTTAAGATATATTTATATATAATAATGTAATGCATGATGCTTCAAAAAAATTATTAATCAGCGGTTAAACTAGAAACATCTCCAGAAACTCTCAATTTGACTGGATAACATTGTTACACCACAATTCCGCGTAAAATTTCTATCTATTTTATCATATGCTTCGTGTAACAACGACAACAAAATGAACATGAATAATCGATCCATAATAATAAATAAATAAATAGAAAAAGTATAAAATATATAAATGGACTTTTGAAGAAAAACAAAGCCATTAAATATATAAATAAATTATGACGTTTAATTAATGGCGTCAAGCATGCATGTGTAACATGTTTATTGTATGCCGAACTTTGAAATGAAATTACAGACAATCCCATTTCATAGATTACTATCAAACCAATGGCACTATATCCGGGAAACTGTGAAAGCTATTTTTAAAATAAAAAGAATATAATTATGTAATGGGAAAATAATTTTCCTGTACATCCTGAATATTCAACGATGGGTAATGACCAGGTTGTTTCGTATTTTTTTCATAACCACGGTGGTCATAAATTTTATGACCCCAACGACGATTACTAGGAAGATAAGGTGATTTATGAATTATTATTTGAGAATATTCAAAGACCTTCTCCCAACGATCTTGTGGAACAACTTCCCGAACGTTCCAAATCAGCGATAAGACATCGAATTGATAATCTTTATACGAAATTGCGTAAATTTCCAGATTTAGAGGAAGAAGTCGATTAATATTAATATTGTATTTTAATTCCAAAAGACAAAAACTTTTTTACCATAATTTTGATTTCAATATGTGTGTTTTTTTTTGAAGAATATATTATTATAAATATTTATAAAAATAAATAATTCTTGAAAACAAATCGATCGATATCTATCCTCTCTATTACATTCGCATTCTTAAATATTGGTGCGATTAAAAAAACCACGTTCGCAATTCTTGATCAAAAAAACTGATTGTCTAATTGCGTCAAAAGAATAATAGACAACAGCAGCACCGTCATATTACCAACAACCATAACAAAAACTTCTCCTTTTTGTAACAACTACATATACAACAGATTTTTTAATTTATCCACCACCATCAGTCATTCGGTAAGTATATTATCACGGACTGTTTGAATTGGTTGTTGGATCCTGCCGATTTCTACCATCGCTTTAACATATGCGAGATTTTATATATTTACACATGGAGGTGGTAAACCATGCTTAAGCACAAGGACCATTATTTTAATGATCACCAACTATCTATTACTATACAATTATTATCTATTGCCATAGTGAACGGATGGTAATTCTTAGAGGAGTTAATAAGCTCACTCCATGGAGTTTAAGTTGATGGATGATGGAAATTATAGTTTAATAAGAAGAGAATAGCATGAAAAAAAAATAATGAATGGGCTAAATTTTGCTTAAAATGTTGACTATGGCTGGTTTGGCTTAACTGTTAGATTGATGAATACATCATAATCCGTTATTCTCTGGATATGGGCAATGTGTGTGGTGACACTACTGGCATTTTTGATACTATGAAATATACTTTACGAATAAGGCATCCATATATATATCTGCAGAGGCTGCAATAATTTATGCATTCTTTTACTCACCACCCTCCATATCATGTGATCACATACAATTCTCGTTTTAATTTCTGGTAATCGAGCTAGGCCAATGCCATCGATTATTTGCTTTGCTGGAAAACGTCTACTATTATCAAATTAAAAATTTATTGGTCTAAATTTCAAAATCAATCAATGATATTTTAACAAAGAGATCATAATCATCATAGTCATAATTACAATATCAACAACTATTATAGTAGTGAAGGTAATGACAATGAAAGATGTTGATGATGGCGGTGGTGGCCGAATCAAGCTGCTACTTTCACTAATAAGGCTAATAATAATAATAGCGGCAATAGTTATAATATCATAGATCAAGGGCTGTTTGCACACTTTTAGGTTGTGGTAAGAATTTTAAGTATATAAAAGTACATTTAAACATCATAGTTTATTCTCTGGTGAAAAAAATCTATTGTGCAAATATCAGTATTGGTAAATGAAAACTAATAACCAAATGGCTTTGATAACTGATCACAGAAAATTAAACAATATCGCCTTCTTGAAAACAAATATGTATTAGAATTTAATAATACCTAAAAAAAATGAGAGATGATAATGAATTCATGGTTTGTTGATTTTTCTTGTTAGGATAATTGTCGTTAGAATCTCCTAGATACAATAATTAAAAGAGGAAAAAATTTTTGAGTCTTCAAGTGCAAATTTTTCATCAGCTTAAAATTTGCAAAGTGGTTGCAACAAAGTCTTGATTTATTGGTAGTAAATCATAGGTATTATTTGCGCGATGTTTAGGCATCCACCCTTGCATATGGCAAATACAAACAGCTTTTGAATTTGAATTATTCTTAACAAGAACAAAAAAATCAAGACTTTTCTTTTACCGACGTATTTATTAAGGTTTCTGGTCCAAACTGTTTTCTCAAAGCCCAAACTAGTTTGGGCAATTTGGCTTCTCAACATTTTCTATAAGCATGAACATTAAAAAACTATATGAATCAACTTGTTTTAACTTAAACAGCTTTAA